AACTGAAACAGTTCTGTTGTGGAAATGTCCTCCGGCAGAGGGGATGGCAGGACAGCTGGGGGTAGCAATGCATTAAACCATTGCAGCTGTTTTCTGCATTGCATTTAAGTCAGAGCTCTTAATTAAGTACACCACGTGTTGCAAAATGTACTACCCTGCTAGGTAATTTGTTCCAAAACTAAACTTCCTTAGGAGTTAAAAATTAACATCTTCTTTCTGAATTGAATTCTGCTGACATCTCATTATCATCATTGACCTTCTTATGTCAGCATCTACAAGCTTCAGTACAGGAATCCAGTATTTAGGACCTAAGTAGGATTTCTGGTAGAGTGTGGGCTGGAACTTGAATGTTTTCTAGCTCTGTGAGCTACCTTATAAAGTAAGGAGAAAGGTGGAAGTGCTAATTCAGGGTAAGAAGTTTTGGAAAATGGCAGTAGGACATTAAGAAAATGCCAGCTAGACTACTTTTCTTTATGGGAAAGTCCATGATTATAAAAATGTTTGGGTTTTTTAACAGATGACTACCATGAGCAGAAGATAAACAGAACAAACAAGTATTCTACTTCAAGTAGTGTCAACAGAAGTTTATAATAGTTTATAACTTTATTTTGCCACTAATTAGAAGAAGGAAATGGCCTGGATAATTGAGCAAAATAACTATGTTGAAAGCTGGGTACATTGTAAAAATCATTAGGCAAAAATAAGTTGTCTGAAAATGATAACATTACTTCCAAGCCAGAAATAGACTAATGCTAGCAAGTGTACTCTGACCATGCATTCTAACATACAACCTCAATTAATCCTGAGTAAAATTCCTGAACCTTGTAACTCCAGGCAATTAATAGAGGAAATAGACTTGAAAGGACAAATATGTAAAAATTAAACTTAATTTTATTGGTTGATTGAATCTGAACTGTGTTATCTTTGTAGACTTTGAAACAATGAGAACAGAAATGTGAGCTGTTGTTTAGCATTTCCTTACAATTTACCATTACTGACGTAATGACTACCTTCAAATCTTTTATTCTGAGCAGAGTATTTTTTGAGTTTCCTCAGTCCTGTAACATATAAAGGACAGTAATATATAAATCTTTCTATTCTGAATTTATGAAGACCTATTTACTCTAAACATATTACGTTATTAAGACCTATTAACTGTAATGTTTTCTAGCACATTTTTAAATTTTAAACAATACACCAGAAAAAATAGTAGACATTGTGTCTCTCAAAGCAAAGACCTGTACCCAGAATTAATCAGCATCTTTAAATGTTTAATAATAGTTGGATCTAATCTCAGTCAAGAGCTACAAAACAGTCACATACATTTGTATAATTTATCTGATTTATTTTATACAGTCAGATAAATTTTTGATAGAAATATGTTTAATAAGACAAAAGTTTCAGTGGTTACAGTCACTTTACTGTGGCATAAATCCCAGCTACTGACGAAAGGAATTGGACTGCCTCTAACCTAACTCAGACGAAAAAAGAATTAAGGTCAGTTTTTAGTTCAGATCACTGATCTAGTTCTTTATATAACAACAGAAATGATTATGCCAACCCAAGGGAGAAGGTAAGAACCAACAGCAAGAGAGGGTGACACCATCTGCCTCTGCAGCAGAGTGGATTTATGCAAGATTAAAGTGTCCATGTAAATACAGCCTTAGAAATGAAACCTGCTGGCTGGAAGAGTCTGTTTCCTCAAATAGATTAATGATTTGTTTATAACAAGTTAAGCCACAAGGGAATCCTTAACAGGCTTTGTCTGCTTTCTGGGTAAGAGAAGGATCCACCTATTCATGTACTAGAAGCATTAGCATTTCTAAGAATTTGAATGTGATAGGAAATAATCTATTAGGATAAAATTAAAGTTAACACACTGACTAAATCAGAGTTCACAGAAATTTACAGGAGAAGGAAACAGAATCTCACTCTGAAGGGAACACAAGGGAAAGTTTAGGTCTAAAGGTTGGATGTGTCCTCAGATCTCCATTCTCTTCCACAAAGACAGGCTTAAGGAAGTAGGTTCTGTATAAAAACAGACTCCCAGACAGGTCTCTGAGCAAGCACCTTGATAGCTGGGTAATATGAAGACAGATAAACCTCTAAATTTTTGTAGACTTTATTTTAGAAACTGTAGTTGGTTTTATTTTAAATCATTGTAATGTATATTGTATAAATACACTTATTAAAAGTAATTTAAAACCAAGGCAACTGACAAATACTAAGGCATTCCATTCCAACTGGTGTTGTAATAAATTAAAACTATGGTACTGTCCAGGATCATAGAATATTTCTTAGGCATATCCAAAGAATAAGAGCGCTATTCCAGGAAGCCATGCTAGGCAGACTGGAAGTTGGTAAGGCTGCTGTGGGAAAGAGAAGTCTTGTGATTATTAACATTAGCCAGAGGCTCCCTGCATATAATATGGTGGTGAGGAGAGTGTGTGAACCCTGAGGATTTCCCACAGAGTCTCTTATGATAGCATTCAAGTTAAAACATGGGTGCAGCTGCTTAAGAAGCAAGTCCAGCACCATTGCAATAAGTTAATGTTTAGCTTTTGTTTAATGTTAAAAGCTGTATTATTTGCTCAAGTAACACAGACTTTCCTTGAAAAGAAATTGGATAAAATTCTTTATTGTATTTTTATAAATTATTATATATTCAACTATAAAAATGTATAATTATTATACATTATAATCAATAAGAAATTATTTATAAATTACTATACATTATACTGAATATCTTGATGAAGTCCTATTCTTCTCTGTAGTTTTTAATTCTCCTCATTAGTCTCATATTTTCATTCATTGTATGTCCAGAATTCCTGGGCACTTCAGCACATGTAACCAGTCTTAGCTTTTTCTGAGTTATTCTTAGAATGTAATAAGCTCCAAGTTGTCATAGAAGTGAAGGTGAAGGTAAGAAGGTATTATAAAGCCACATTTACCTTTTGACAGTGTGAGTGACAAACACTGCTCTTATATAATCAGCAGCTGATTTCTATCTTATACACAATCTTGGCATCACTAGAGTAAAAACACTCGTTGATATCGGTGGATAAGAAACTTAAATATTAACAGGTAGCAATAAATCAGCATACCTTTTGCTGCTTGGGCATTAAGATATACGAAAGTTTTGGCACTGACATACAAAAACAGATAATGTGTGGATAATGTGCAGAATGGAAAGGCATGTGTGAATGAAAAGGCTGTACAGTAAATAATGTTTACCTCTGTTGCTTTCCTGCATCTGTCCCCTGGTCTTCAGAATATTCCTTTGGTTCTGCATACCCACTGAATGACAACTCAGTGCATGTTACACCTTTTCTGTTTCTGTTCTGGCTTAGTGGCCTAGCTTTTCATGGGAGTTGCCTCTACTGAGGCTTAACTTGGTACTCCATGTTTAACAGGTAGCTGAAAAAGGCTAAAATGGCCTTATTTCTTTAGCACTGAGCAAAGCCTGGGCGCAAAGAGTACTTGAAGAAGAACTAAACACTTCAGTGCTGGAACAAAGCACCTGCTCTCACAGATGACGAAGATCTCATGTACTAAGTGAAAAACATATCCCCTAATGAACATATGCCAGGAACTGTTTGGATCCAGACATAGCAGGAATGAAGCATTTAGATCCTTGCCAGCCATATGGGAGACCCACATTTCATGATTACTCCCAGCCTGTCATTCCAAGGGTTGGCGTAGAGCACTGGATGAAGTAATGGCTTGAGATTATTCAGCAAAACGTTTGAATGTTTGCTCTGTGGTCTCCTCTTGTGTTGCCTTTCCTTTGCATGCCCGTAATCTATCTGAACTTGTGCAAACCACTGAACTGTAGAGGGAGGTGATGCAGAAAGCACAGCCATCTGGGCCTGCCTGAATAGGAAGGGAAGAAAACACCCTTACTGTGAGAGTTGCTGGCTGTTATTAAAGCCAGGATTGCTTTTACTGGAGTGCCAAATCTTACTAATTAATTTTCAGATTTATACTTCAGAGTGACTCTGGCAGTGATTATATTATTCAAAAAGCAGTCACAGACTGTTCTTGAATCTTAAAGCACGAGTCTCTTTAAATTCTGCAGAGTTTTAATACTTTGTGAGCTCCTAACATTTGGTTTCCAGATTACACATCTTTCCTCGAGTAAGCCCTGCCAAAAAAAGATAACTTATTCTTACAGCAGTATTTTTGTGACCTGTCTTTTCATCAAAGCAGCCTTCTTCGGTAAGCGTATTGAACACCAAAAGCCGTAACATGCTAGGTTCATCTCGTTATTTTTATCCCCACACTGTGGCATAATCTTTTTGCCCCAAGTCTCACAGCCAAAAAGCATCTGAACAGGAGCCTCCCGGCTTCTGACTTTGACTCTGCTAAACACATTGCACCGGAAGTTACAGTCGAGTCATAAACACAAGGAGGCAGAACAAACATCAGATTTCACGTAAGAAAGGATGATTTTACTTGACATTAACAGTGTTCCCACTAATTTCAATTGGACTGGGACTCCTCAGAGTGCATGAAGAGTTGAGACATCCTCTGAAGGACCAACTGATAATTTTTTCCTTGCTTCATGAGACTGATGTCCCTAATCTGTGTTAGTAAGAGCTCAGGCAAACACTCCCTTCATATTTTGGGAGGAAATAGTCTTTTTTTTTTAGACTGTAACAGGCCTGCAGCTGTTTTTAATACCCTGTCCAGTAAATGACAGGAGCCTGTTCGCAGTCAATGAGACACATTATTTATCAACTGACTTCTTCATAATTGTCCCCAGACAGGGCCCGAGCACTTTCTGGCAGACACGAGGGCCGAGGGAACTCGGGGGTGGCTCTCGGCTCCACGAGTCCCGCCCCTGCCCCTCACGGCCCGGGAGCGGGAAAAGGCGCGGGGACGGCCCCGCCGGCTCGACGCGGCTGAGCGGCGGGGCGGTGCCTCCCCTCGCCCCGCCCCTCCCGGCTGGGCGGTGCCTCCCCTCGCTCCGCTCGCCCCCGGCCCCGCCTCTCTCCCTCGCAGCTGCGCCCGCCCTCCCCGTTAAACGGTGCGTGGCGGGGCCACCGGGTTCCTGCGGCGGCAGCGGCAGTTGCCCGACCTTGTTGCACGCTGATAGCTGCCGTCGCTCGGCGGCCGCCGGTGCCTGAGAGAGAGTGGCCGCCGCACTCGCTCCTTCTTCCCTCGCCGCCGCGCGTGTGCCGTGCCGAGCCGAGCCGCCGGCGCGGCTGCAGCGGCGGGCGGGGAAGCGCTCCTCACCGCTCCGCCTCCGATCGCCGCCCGCTGCGGGGATGTGTGATTGCCATGGCGAGGCGGCTCTTCCCGGGGGCCTGGCTCAGGAAACCCCAGTACGCGCAGGTAGGCCGGCAGCAGACTGTCCCCCGCGGCGGTCGGGTCGGGACGGGCAGGCCGGTGCCAGCACCCCTCCCGCCCCGCTCGCCTCCCCTGCGAAGTTACCTCAGGAGCGGGCGCCCCCCGCGGGGCTCGCCGCTTCCCTCCGGCCCGTCGCGGGTGCGGCCGCCGTTCCCTCCCGCCGGCGCCTGGCGGCGGACGGGGCTCGGCTCCGCGGCGCTGCAGCTCGGAGGTTCGGCCGGCGGGAGGTGGCGGCGCCGGGGCTGAGGCGCAGCCGCGGGTGGCGGGGTCGGGAGCAGGTGGCGGGGCCGCGGGGGCCGCTGCCGCCCCTCCCGCCGGCCGGCTCGGGCCTCCCTGGCTGCCGCAGGGTGCCGCGAGCTCCACGGAGCGCCCTCCCCGAGCGGCCCGCGCCGCTCCCCGGCAGGACCTGTTACGCGGCCGCCGGCCCGCCGGCGCCTTGGCTCTCGCCGGAGGTTTTCGGCTGGGTAGCAGCACCGGCGGCACTGCCGGCGCCCGCAGGAGCCCTCACGCGTTCCTCGGGATGTCTCTCCTTGACACATATCGCCGGTGCTGTGGGACATCCATCCCGTCGGAGGATGAGCTAGAGTTTGCCTCAGCGGACTCATTCTTTCACGTGTCCGAAAAGAATTAATGCCGGGCGCTTTTCTTTTTGCTGTCCGGTAGTTAGTTGCTTCATTCATTTGTGTATGCGTTCATAGACACGCTTTTATACGTACAGGAACACGTTTGTATTCCTTAAGCTATGTGTGTAAGGTTGTTTTGGTTGAAAGTGCTGTGGCTATCAAGTAGCAGGAAGTTCTGCTGTGAAGTGTTAGTTATGACCTTGTGGTATGCTAAGGGTTATTCTTCAGGAGTTGTTTTTATTTGTCGCGTTATATTTTAATTAAATTGTAACTAAAATGAGCCTTTGAGTTGGAGGGGATGTATATAATATTTACTTGGCTTATATTCATCATCTGTTGATATGAAATACTTAGTGATCATTGGATTTAAAAAAACGTGAACGTCATCCTGATGCATTTTAAAGTCTTAAATGTTTTAATTCTTCTTCATCTGGAACTTTGCTGATTTTATTCTTTCTTTGGAAGTACCTGAAATGGGGTGTAACATTAAAGGAGAATTGTACAGATATGGGTATAATCTCACCTTCTTTAGTAATTGTTTTATGGTATGTATTTGCAAATCTGGGTCAGTATCCCTTGATTTTTAGACCAAAAGATTACTCTTAATCTATTTACTGAAGTAGGTGCTTGTACATTTGGATTCCCATAGAAGAAAGCCTGTGATACAAATAAAAATTAATTCATAATCTGTATGCTATCTTTCAAATTAGGATTCTTCAAGTGGTTTGCCTCCTTTTGCCGTAGTAAGACTTTGTACGATTGATTATATCGTGATGTCTGATACAGTTTTTTTCCATTCTTCTCCTCAACATTTAATTTAAGGCCTTTCAAGAAAAATGTTATTTTAAAATCTGTGGAGAAACAGGAAGACAGCAAGATTGTTTACTAGAGAAACCAAAGAAGTAAAATATTTGTTCGTTTCTCTTGCAGACGAAAAAAATATTTCTGACTGTGCTTTCTTATACTGGAAGCTGCATTTGAATATTCTACAGATTTGTTTTAGGAGATCTCGTAGTGGCTTTGTGCACATTAACATATTTTTCAGTGTTAGACAGTGAATGTATGTTGATATTTGATGCAGCTATAGAACGGCAGCAAGCTATCAATATATTGGCTTTTCTTGTCACTGCATATTACTGTTGGTACATGACAAATGTAGTCAATGTAGACAAATGTAGTTAAAACTATATTATTTCAGAGTGCTTTATTGAGATTTATCTGCAAAGCTGCCAATGCTTTCTAAGTAAATGCTGGACTTTAACTCACTGAGATGTAGCTACAAGCAAGATGGAAAGATTTGTGAGTATTTTTATGCAATATTTCAAGTAGCACACGAGGTAAGGTGTTTGTACAATGGGAGGTATTACTGAGTGGCTACCAAATTTTGTTGGCTGGTGTTCCAGACGTTTTGAAAACTGTATTGTGAGGTGAGCTGATAGAACATCAGGTTCTGTCAGAGACAAAAATTAATATTTGCTCTAGCTTTCCAGCTGTAATAAGAGCAGGATGATAGCAGTTGGTTTGCAACTGATATTCTATGGCAAATGTTCTGTTATTACTGTTTTACATGTTCTTTAGCTGTTATACACATTGCGAGATCCATAGATAATTGGTTGATCATCTTTTTGGCTGAGAAGGATGTGCTGCCAAGTGTTAGCTCATGTAAAAGGAGCAGGAAAAACCTTTAGATATTTTACCTCAGATCAAAACCTAGTAGTTAGAGACCCACAGAATTTTTTTTTTAGCTCTTAAGTAGTGTACCAAAAAAAAAATCTAATTGTATTTATAGGATCTTAAAGTTGGGTGATTAACACTGTAGGAAGAGCGTCCCAAACTGGGGAGATGTTGTCCTGAAGTTCTTTCAGATAGCTGTAGTTAGCAATTGTATCATGAGGCTGAGGGCAAGCTATCAGGATTGCACATTACAATAATCATGTAAAGAATACTTGCATGTTGGGAAGCTTTCTGGGCTCTTTATAGATGTCATGTGGACTTCAGTGATGTGCAAGGGACTGTCTTTGAAAGGCCAAAGAATAAACAAATTTTAAAGCCCTATGTAACAGAATTTTCCTATATCATCTATTTCCTCCAAGACTTTAATCCTCTTTTTTGTTTATTTTTTTGTCTTGCTTAACCTTTTAAGGAGAAATGTCCTGGTTTCCATCTTGGTCATTATCTTACTTTATTTCAAAAGATATCTCAATCTCTGTTTACTCGGTTTGATTGCTCAGGATGCAAATAATTCAAGACACTAGCATAATCTTAAGCATGCTCTGTCTGCTTTTAAAGATACGAGTATATCCAGTACATGGCATCCAAGGCAGTGTGGGCTAATATTTTCATACATCATGTCAGCCAACCTGAAATGCATCCTATGATCCATAAACCAACCTGAACAGAAAACAAAACAGGATTTGTAACATGATCAGACTACAATTTTTGGTTCTGTTCTTTCCTATTTCTAGTACGTAAAACAAATGGTTTGAGCAACTCGGATTTGGAGAACATCAGTGCATTATGGTTATAGGGAATATTTTGCAGAATTAAGCTCTCTGTACTCTTAAACAAAGAAACAGTTTCATACTCTTTAACCATAAAAATGTTTTAAATAAAAAGTACACTTAGCAAAAAACTGGCAAGTTATGTTGCATTTTGATCTGCTATTCTCCATATGCTTTGGAGTGCATCCAGGCTTGAGTTTTGCCAGAAGTGGTTTTCCAGTTCGGTTCCAGGGGATGAATGTCTAATTACTTTTCAATGCACATGACTTAGGAGAATATACAAGTGATGGAAGAAGTTGACTGAGATATCGTTTCAAGCATTACAAGTGCTTTCCTTCATTCTTGTGTTCCCTGGCTCATATTTAAAAGTCCTGATGGAAGAGTGGAGCAGAAAAGAGAAATTGTCTCCTGGTTTTGAACACTTTCTTCCTTTTTTGATAACTTTGGAACTCTCAGTCCTTCTGTTGCCCTGAATATGTTGTTATTAGAAGTTTCCTAGCAGTTTGTCAAAATTCCAAATGAAGTCTGTCTATATGTATTGCTTTGTAATCTTAGGGATTTAGTGCTGAGAAATGTGTTTGAATGATTTGCGTAGCATGTGGGCAGTAAGTCTGCAGTATTTGGGGGTGCTTTAGCATACATGTGACCCAGCCAGACTTGGTAAAACCATGTCCCTGCTGCGTTAGTACAGCACATGCCCAACAGTTGTGACACTTCATAGATGAAGTAGACTATTTGTGACTGTGTTCACAGACTAGTTGTGGGGAAGGAATGGAAATTTGATAGGGGGAATGTATGGGAAGGAACCAAATAATGATTGGGCCTTTTGCTGAACCTGATAAGGAGGTCCTTATTAGAAAAGTAATTCCCTTTGATTCAAACAGAGTGGGACCTTGTGTTCTTCTGTAAGCAGATGTGTATTCTTGTCCATGCCCTGAACTGTCAGGGTTTGAGTCTTTTGCAAGTCAAAAGCTACGTGACTGCATTGGCATGGTGCTGAGCCCAAAATAAATCTAGTTTCTCAGGAACTCCCTGCCAAGTATATGATGTAGTCAGATGGCATTTGGGGAGGATTTTCTGTCTCAAACACATTCTCTTTATGCCTGTGAAGGAGCACAAATTTGGATCAACCCGTATATCCTGTATTCTCTCCTGCACTATGAGCATGGTCAATAATCTGCAGTGGTCCTGGGGCCTGCAGACCACTGCTGGTCTCTGAGATTGTACTAGACAGTATACATTGAACACAAAATTTTATCAAATAGCACTTTGGTTTAAAGTTTAGTGTTATAAAGGTTAATGGAAGGAATTGGCAAGAAAATTTAAGGCATTAAGAGGGTTTGTTGTCCCAGAAGCCTTGGTTCCCGAGCAGTTTTTACTCATGAAACAGCTTTGCCTAAAATTGTCAGATATATTTCTGTTGATCTTTTTCAGACTTTACCAGTAGTTTGGTGTTCTATATTATTTACGTTCTACAATATTATGGTTATTAGAAATGGTAAAAAAAAAATAACCAAACCAACAACAAAACCTTTCTCTAAAGGAGAAACCTCTGTATCTTGCGTTTCAAAAAGGTAATCATTAGCACGCAGTTGCTCTAATTCCTGATTCATAAGAGTTTTCTCTTATGTGTGGGGAAATACTGAAGAAAGTTAATTTCTTAGAATTTTCAGTTATCCTATTAATAGAAGATATTTTATAGAGAAGAGTCTTGTGACAGACTTAGGAAAGACCATTGTCAGAATTCTTTGTAGAAAGGAGGATGTGATACAATAATTTTCAGTTCTCCTTGCAGGTGTTCTGCAGTATTTTATTAAAGACTGGATAATTAAATAGTTATGAAAAGTTCACTTCTAAAAAC